AAAAAGCACCACTTTCAACTAGACCTTTCACATTAGAAATAATAACGACTTGATAGTATGTTGCTTTCCTGTTAAGTGAGCCAAGTTCTATCTAGAATTTCTCTTTCCTAAATAATCTACAACACTTAAAGATCACCTGGTTGTTTCAGTTCAGTTTAGTGCAGTTGATAAATCATGGTCCTCGCACCAAAGTGCTGTGGATGCAGTTGCCGCGAATCGCGTCACCAGAGTGGCAAAAATGAAGAATGTTAAGTAAATGCGATTAGACTTAAATATGGTATTAGCAGAATGGAAGCAAGAACGAGGTGCATGAAGCTAATCGCATTGAAGTATGAACAGCTACACATAAGAGAAGGAATCCAGGGGCAGCACTGACTCCGACAATGCGCCACGTCTGATAGAGTCTCTAACCATTGGTTTGGACTAGCACGAGGCCCCCATCTACGAAGACGGCACGTATCCGCTTGACCAAGTCTCTCGGTCAATTTCAGAGTGAAGCATGCGGAATTTACCGTAGTTTTATCAGGACTTCATTATCGTACATACTATTAATGGCACCAAAAAAGTAATAATAGGAGAATGCAGTTAAGCCCAATATATCTGTACTGTAATAGTGAGCAATCTGAGAGTGCACAGTCGACCTTACTTTATGTTAAATTTTAAGGTTGCTACACTGAAAAAGGTTTGACAGGTTACCGGATTGTTCTCGTTTTTTCTATTAAAAGCAGACAGTCTTGTATCGTGTGTAGACTTCCCATAGTTATAACGGCGGTCACAACGGTTAACCTGCTCGCAGCTGGGATCCGAGTATGAATTCGCAACCCACTCACCAAGCAATTAGTGCAGAATGTTGTTATTTGCGTGAAACATTTTGTCTAATTTTGTGGGTGAGGGGCATACCGCAAGAGATTCTCATGATCTCACCCACAACTGCAACTACTAAGAACGATTGTTATCGGTTTGAGGTGCATTGGATCAAACACGTACCAGCGTCACAGCAAGGTACGCATTCACCCACCAGTGAGTTGTGTGCAGTTTGTCCAAACAATGTGACGCAAAGATGCACGGTGGAACAAGCAGAATTTATGCAGCATAAGTGAATCTACCCAGCTAAAAGATCGGAACTCAACACACTGGGGCCAGTAGGTACACAATACAACTTCACGGGTTTACCTTTCATTGAAAGAACGCAATCTTCGTAGGTTTCGTACACACCAGGTTCAGGTATTGAATCTAAACGATCCGGATAAACGAAAAACATTTTGCCGTTGGTTTTTGTATCACATATGTATTCACTCAGTACTGTTTACGGATGAGTCCGTTTTTCATTTGCATGGAACGGATAAACAACGTTTCTGGGCTAGTTCACATCCACGCAGATAAACAGCGTCACGTATTCAGCATAGCGCCAAGCTGATGATCTGGGCCGGAAGTACCGGTCAGAAAATCGCTGGACCTTTATCTTTTCCAGGAACGTGACCGGTAAGTTGTTTTATATTACTCGACCCTTACTTTTGCTAGCATCGTCGTACAAGGAATTGCTCCAGACTTGCGCACTGCCACAGTTGGAGTTCGCAGTACCATAAGGTTGAAGCATGATGGTGCACCAGCAAATTATGCTCAATCGGTGCGAGAATATCTCTGCGAAGAACTCGGCTGAAGTTGGATCGGTCGTGCAGGCCCCATCGGGTGGCCCCCACGGTCACCCGATTTAAGCCCGCTGGATTTTTTTCTCTGGGGATATTTGAAACGAAGGGTTTACAGAAACAATCCGATTTCCCTCGAGCAATTGTAGCCGAATATTGTGAATGAATGCTACGCCATCACCACCGTGACGTTCCAGAAAGTACTTGTTAACTACATCAAGTGATTTCTGTACGGTAGTCAGAATGCAGGTGGACACTGACAACATCTTCCATGATATCTATGTCCGTCTAATGCTGCTTCTGTAAATATATGTATCAAGAATCTATTGCACGCCAACTTAATTCTATGAGCATTGTCTGCTTCTTCAGCAGTCTGCGCCAGTCCGAAAGCCGTGATAATTTGGGGGTATCCGATGCGTAGATTAGAGCCTACGTATTGGAGCCGTTGGTGTAAATGTTCTCTAATCCACACCGGAGTCATAAGTGAGAGATTATTGGGGGCTCCGATAGATCGTTTATGGACAAATTAGTTATCGGTCATGGTGCTAGTGCACACCTAGCTTCTTGCTTGTAGCAGAGGCCTCCATTTGGGTACCGTGCAGCTTACCGATTCGTGTTAATGCGCCTAGTCTATGCAACCTCGGTGATCCAAATTTTGCTCCGCCATGTCTACCTTTGTGGGTTGCTACCCGGATGACCGAGAGACTTGGTCAGGCAGGTACTTCAACATGGCAGTTGCTTATTTTACTATAAAAGAGATGGACTTATCGTTTTTAACACAGCAGTCCTCTCCGCACACATGATTTGGGTTGTTTAAAATCAGATATGCTATTATCAGGTCGCACTGAGTATGTCGGAAAATGGAGATATCGAATTGTCCGAATGGCCGTCTCAGCAACCTGACGTCTTGAGTACCAGTTTTCGATGCCTTTTCGGATTGCTGGGAACAACTCACCTCATCCTGAACCAGCACACCTAGGTCGCATCCGACGGAAGATCACTGCAGTACTTGCGTTCCGAGCAAGTAGCAGTAGGTACTCTGGTGTTGTATGGAGAGTACCTTGCATTTGCTTACTTAGAAGCTCCGCACGTTTTCGTTTAGCTACTGCTGTACCATATCCAAGTCATGCTGCAGCATATCTAGATCGGCCTCCGACTGAATCGTGCGCTATAGCTTAATGTCGCCAGCAAACATTAGAAAACTTGAACCCATCCTCTGTGCCAGGTCGTTGACAAATACTAAAAACAATCGTGGCCCTAGAACAGAGCCCTGAAGCATACCACATTCGACATGTATGGGGTCTGATAACGAGTTTCGAACTCTAACCACCAGCTGCCGTTGTAGGAGAAAGTTGGCAATCCAGGTGAAAAGGGTGTCATCTATGCCATAATACTGCAGCTTGAAGAGAAGAATCCGTTGATCCAGGCGGTCGAATGCCTTCGAGAAATCATAATAGACCACTTGGACGTTCTCTCCTGCATCAGCTGACTCGGTCCAGCTACTCCGGGCTATCAGTAAAGTTGTTGTGCACGATCGCTGTCGACGAAAGCCATGTTGCTCGAGAGCAATGATGTTGCAGTTTTCCGGATAGCACACCAATGCATTGGCAACAATGGACTCCATCACTTTGGACAGTACAGGATGAAGTAATACCGCAGTAAGAACGGAGCCAACAGTTCTGCCAGTTGTCGTGACGCTGCTCCCAGCGCTTCTGGGCGAGTACTATCGACACCAGGGGAGATGTGGTTGAGCAGAGACGGAAGCTTTTGCAAGACAGTTTCCGCGGTAAACGTGATGTGGTTGAGTTCCTGCGTTGGGGTAACAAAAGATGGAAGATCACCTGGTGGCAAGACCCACTTAAATGTAGATTCATATTGCGTTCGTGGATGCTGTGTATCAATGTGTGACAAAGCTATACTTTTGGGAACAACTGTGATAACGCTGGTGCTACTGTATGCATCTGAAACTTGACCAGTTCGTACGGAAGACATCACATGGTTGGACGTCTTTGATCAACGGGTCTCACACAGTATCGTACGCATCTGGTAGGAACACAGGGTGAGCAATGCTGAGGTCCGCCAGTTGCTTTTTGCAAGAAACTCTCCGGTGCCTCACTTCAGTGTCTGTTGAAGTTGAATCGCTAACGCTGGTTAGGTCATGTACTCCATACACCGGTTAACCGCCTTCCTCGGCGAGCATTATACGCCGTCAATGCACCAAGTTGGGCGAAACCACGAGGTGTTCAATCGATGATGTGGCATAGAGGTATGAAGAAATTGACCGAGAGACTTGGTCAAGCAGATACGTGCCGTCTTCGTAGATGGGGGCCTCGTGCTAGTCCAAACCAATGGTTAGAGACTCTATCAGACGTGGCGCATTGTCGGAGTCAGTGCTGCCCCTGGATTCCTTCTCTTGTGTGTAGCTGTTCATACTTCAATGCGATTAGCTTCATGCACCTCGTTCTTGCTTCCATTCTGCTAATACCATATTTAAGTCTAATCGCATTTACTTAACATTCTTCATTTTTGCCACTCTGGTGACGCGATTCGCGGCAACTGCATCCACAGCACTTTGGTGCGAGGACCATGATTTATCAACTGCACTAAACTGAACTGAAACAACCAGGTGATCTTTAAGTATCGTAGGTTATTTAGGAAAGAGAAATTCTAGATAGAACTTGGCTCACTTAACAGGAAAGCAACATACTACCAAGTCGTTATTATTTCTAATGTGAAAGGTCTAGTTGAAAGTGGTGCTTTTTTCCTACAGTGCTTCGTTGGAAGCTAGTTTTCAGTCTACCGGCGTGCCCACCGTAACTGTGTTTTAACATTACCTTCGAAAACTTATTTCTCACGTGTACGTCAGTCTGTTTATTTTAATGGGAACATAGCTGCGATGAAATAGCAGCAGTTGTGCACCACGTGTACGTTAGTCCAACAACGCGATGGCCATTCTTGTTTTTAACACAGTAGCCCCTGTACGTGACGGTAACTTCAGTGCTACGGCTAAACATCGGTCAGTACAGAGCCCACAGGCATCCAGTTTTCCGCGAAACATTCTGTCCTCAAACACTGACCAGAATGTATCGATCGTTCAAGTATCTCTAGTCTGTGCCTCATCGCATGAAGCGCTGTGCAAGTTGGGGTACGCAGACGCCGCACTTGTGTGCGTAGTGCATCGTGTGAGATCCGATTGGATCTCTGGACTGCCGTTAGAATTCCTCGGGGTTTTCCGAGGGCGTGCAATGTGCGGCAATTTTCGGTGCGTCCAGGACAATCGGTAGACACACCCCGGCCACACGATAAATGACTCGTTCGAATATTTAATGGTTGAAACATTGGGTGTGAACTAACCTCTTCGTCGGGAAAATGTTCCGGCGTGTAGCCATACCGAAAGTACACGATAGCGACTTCCTGCTCATCCCTGTGTCGAAACACCAAAAGTAAGGTGAGAATCAAAATCGTATTACGGAAACCAATGGCATGGAGAAGGTAGTAGAGTCCACAAACTCACACAAACAACCGAAGCTCTTCGTCTAGCCTCAATCGTCCACTGTGTTGCACCAGGTCATCGAAAGTGCGCACAAGCACAGGTATCTGTGGATGTCGAGTTAGCAACGAGGACAGTAATGCCATCTGGTCATAAACGTTTGACTCATTTTGCGGAACGATCATCAGCACGGCACCCGATCGGCAGGATGAAGATTCCGGAACAACACCTGGAAGGAATTCACTGTCAGGCGCTAGGTAAAGTCGGCGCGCAATTGCTATAGCATCTGCGAAGTTGTCGGCGGAGTTGCATTCGGGGACCTGAGATAGTATAAATCAGGAACAAATCACACTCCAATATATTCAGGTGTATGGTCTCTCGTAATAAAATATCGTCCCTATTCCCTTATATGTTCACCTGCTCATCGCTCATCTCACCGCCGGTAGTTCTAAAGTAACCCTGGACTGAAATAGGCGATTGAGGCGCATAATAAAATGAACGCTCCTCATTGTTCGTGTGACCACAATTAGTGTTTACTGTGACAGTTAAATGAGCTGTCAAGTATACACGACTCAGAGGGTTCATTTTCCAAGCAGCTCAGACAATGTCACAATTGATTGCACTACGCGTGGAAAGTTATGTAAAAAACATCTTTTGCTACACCCGGGTTGCAGTTGATTAAAATGCATGCGCCAACGATGATGAGAGCCGTGCGTTTGACCCCATTAATGCAAAACGGGCTGCGTATATAAGTATGTTGATTTCTGACATTTTCTGACATTTTCGCTTCATTTGCTAACAGTACATGGCAAACAAAGAAAGTCTACAACAATCGGGATGAGCTATACACAGGCGAGTATCCAGAATTCAGCAAAGTAGTTGACCGGCAGTCGAACTGAGGCTCACCATCTAAACGGATGACAATGCACAACGATGAATTCCAGTCCTCCAGTGCTATGGGCACAAACACGGCGCGAATAAAACGCCGGAAGACTGCGTTGATAAAAACCGCTCTGATCGGTGAAAATTCGAAAAAAGCGACAGCTATGATGAACGCGACAGATCGCACCAAAGAATCACCATTGAGTACTAGGGGGGTTTATTGTGTTTTTGACAAAATTCATCGCAGCTAGACTCAGCCAGAGCCTCCACACATCCATGAAAGTATCATCATTATCATTATACACGTTAGCTAGAGGTGGGAAACACCTCGGCTACTGTGTTGCAATAGATAAAAGAAAAGGACGAAAAAAATGAAACAGATGTAAGTCAGCTGAGTTACTATTAACGGATGGACATCGTTCAGGTAAGCTACCAGCCGGCTAATATGCAGCAAAAAAAATTTACTATGCAAAATTCTATAAGGCTAAATAGTGAGATCGTGCTTGGAGGGGGAGGCTAAGAGGGATGGGACGAACAAAGAAACTCACAGCACGAACACCACTGAGGTCGGCTCCTAGCCATGTCAGCAAGTGTATCCCGTCATACGTGTTCATCGTCTTTCGGACCCCAACCAAGGAGCCGAGACGCTCCAACCGAGGCCAGATTCGAAGTGAGAGCCATGAAAGCGCTAGACAGCCGTTTGATCCTATTGGGATTCATCAGCAGCGCGCACCCGCCGATACGTGCCAGATTCGAATCCACGACCTTATTCCTGAGAGCAATGACTTATGCCACTGAGCCATAGGCGACGGCAGCGGACCGCCATAACTGAGACCTAACTGCGATATAGCGCGGCTCATCCCACACTATCATGCATGTTATGAACGTCAGTCAGCTCTGATTCACAGTAAGGAGCGCCGGCTGGTTCGTTGAGCGCAGCACTTTCGAGAGCAGTTCAGTTGTGCATCTGCACCCGGACTCCTTCCTGCGCAGGTGGTGCAGGCTGGCCGGTTAGTTTATAGACTCCATCGGAGGTCGAGGTCCGAAACGCGATTACAGTCCTTAATCGTTTTAAAGCTGCTACCCGGATTCCTTTCCACCTACACTATGTAAGGATGTTGGTGGAGTCCTCTGCACATCTATGATGTAGTTGCTCAAACAGGTCTGGAAGGAGAAAGCTATCCCATATATCTGAAGTGCATTGATCATACTGGCAATTTACAAGAAGGGTAGGTGTACCAACTGTGCTGACCACATGGGTCTTAGTGTAACACCAGTGGCGACAAAATTACTGGTCTCACTTCTCGTTTGTCGTTTCTCTGCAGAAAGGAAACCACCAATTCGAGAAGAGCAAGCAGAGTGCCGCCCAGGACGGGCTCTATAGATTATATTTTCACCCTTCGACAAATGCTAGAGAAGCGGTATTCCTGAACTTCAAGAGTGCGTTCGACTCAATTGACCGATCAATTCTGTTGGAGACAAATGCGAAAGTGTTCCCATGAAACAGGTGAAGATTTTACGTACTCTGCCCGAACACCACAGTTCGCTTCAGGGTCTACGGTGACTTATCAGATATCACTTCGATAACACATGGCGTTCGTCATGGTTGCCCAATTTTTGTTCAACTTTGTCATGGACTCCATCATGCAGCGTTCCCTTGCGCAGTCTTACGACGCAGGTGTTGAGTTGACATCTGATAGACAGTTAGTTGATCTTGATTCTGTGGATGATATTGGTTTGTTGTTGAACGATGATGCAGTAGCTCACTCAACCTCGAATTCAAGTTTAAGTTCAAGCGGGACTGGAACGATAGGATTATCCCGTGAGTGTTCCTTCTTCGGCGGGTCGTTGAACCAGGAGTTGGCGAACTTTGAAATACTGATGGACCTAAAACAAAGACCGCATCACACCCTATCCAACCAATTAATGCCCACGTATCGTGCCCTAGCAGTCCCTGCTGGGTCGGTTACGTGAAGTAAGAAAGAGAAAAAAGTAAACGCAGAAGGCAAAAGAGAAAGTGGTAAGAGCTAAGCAAGTGGAATACCAAGATATTTGAGTCAATAACATCTCTAGAACCTTTTCAAAATTTGGCATCCGCCTCACAACTTTAAAGTGCAACGTTTTGCTGCAGGACCGCCAGGCACTTAATGATCCCTTTATGGTGTTCTCGTAATTGACTTCTTTGAGTGACTCGTTCCAAATATTTTTATGAGGAACGAGTCAATGCGCAATTCATTTTTGTTGTCGCCTCCTTCACCGCTCTGAAAACTGTTCCCTCTTCGTTTCCTGTTGATTCATTCGCTGTGGGAAACGACGCTAGCGATCATTTTCTTTTTCTTTTCAAATGATGCACTTTCAAACTCCACAATCAGTACTTATTCCAACTTAGCGGCTGTCAGTCGTCGGTATGTTTTCCTGCATTAAAATTCTTGATTGAAAGTCCGGTATTTCGCTGTCGACTTTTGGAGCTAGTACCAAGCGTGTGAACCGAGGGAGTATCCGTGCAATTTCCAACCAGTAACATATCTGGGGACCGAGGTGTTGGTTTTCTCTCCCCAACTATGTCTGCCTATGCTGACTTGAGGTAAATGATTCAAGCCGAGATCAAACTAACGGAGATACTAGTCTAGAAATTCGCCACATTGGTGTCGGCCTATTCCTCCGTCAAATTGCCGTCAGCGGATCAAGTCGCAAGGAAAATGGTTGTTTTACAGTACATGCATGATCCACAAGCCGGTGTGAGGTTAGAATGATGGCATGGCCGATACAAAGATACAAGAGAATGAGACAAAAGTCCGGCTACTTCTTCGATAATTGGGCCCAGCAGAAGACGTCTGTCTCATAAGCTTAATCCTCCCTGTCGAACCGCAGTCACGCCGTTTTAACGAAACGGTGCAGACGTCAACATCGATTTTCGGAGACACTTCGTCTTTGTTTGACACTCGCTTCAAGTTCCCCCAAATAGTCAAGCGGAACACAGACAAGATCGTCACGCACGTCGGCATCGTCAATCGTGTGTGCGGGCGTATCAAGCTCGGATCTCTTAACGAAGACCGGTGAAGTCAACAAACAGCGAGTACAATGGCAGGTGTCGTTCTCTGAATTTCTATTGTAGCTGACGAGCCGCGAACACATATCTATAGTGCTGCGGCCCGAACGGAATCCACATTGCTTCTGCCACGTTCGGTTCAACGATCTGAGTGACGAGGTAATTGAGCGGGATTCGGGCGAGTGCTTTCCCCACACAACTCAGCAAGTTGATGCCACGATAATTCGTGCCAAATTGCTTGCTCCGTTTGCCCTGATACAGTGGTAGCATAAGGGCATCCTTCAGCTCGTCTGGCACTCCATCCTAAATTCACAATTGTTACACCAAGGCAGCGCATTCGCAAACGCAGGTCGGCCATATTTCAATACATCAGGTGGGATCGTGTCGCTGAAGGCAAAGTTGCCGTTTCGCAGCCAAGCAAGCGCTCTCTGCGTCCCATCTAGTGTCAGTGTGTCCGCAAGACACATCTTCATCCCTTGCTGTTGCAGCCCGTACAACGTAGGCCAGTCAAAGTGCCTTCCCCAGATCTGTGTACTTCTGATACGCTTGATTCCCTACATAGATAGACAGGAATGCTGCTGTTGTGCATGTTGTAAGTGTGGGCCGGCTCCGTTGATGAAACGTGGTTCCCATCCACATGCCTCCCGGTCTTATTTCTTCGGGTTTACACTGGATATCGGGCGTGTGGATGGAGCTGTCGGTGGTACAGCGCAAGCCACCCATAGCCCCTCTGTAAGCGCAGGCGTTCTGTGGCTGTCCTATGGAAGTCACTGTGACAGGCAAATCCGGAACCGGAAACCGCCAATCATGTATACAGTTGGCCGCGTTCGGTTCCCCATTTGCTTGTCACTACGGCCTCCATAAGATAGTTACAGGACGTCTGTGCCTACAAAGGGATCATATGCGGCTTGCGCTGCATAATCCACAGCCCCATCCACACACCAATAACCTGTGTAAGCCGGAAGAATAATAACCGGGAAGCATAACGATGAGAGCCATGTTTCATCACCGGAGCCAGCCGACACTCCTTCGACATGCCCAGCAATAGCATCCCTGTCTAATTAGGAAGTCATGTGTACAAGACGTAGTTAAGGCGATGGCTGGGCCGTAGCACGTTCCACAATGGATGGAACCACTCTTTGAGGCTGGCGCGGTCACGAGGACCGTGAACCTAGTCTCCACAAACAACGAGTAACTTTTTCCCCGGGCCAGTATAATCGTGGTAGCGGTTTTTCGACAGGTAGGCATCTTGTCAACAGCTTTTCCATCAATGCCCGGAACTCCACATCGATGGCGAGGGGTTGCACTCCTCTACCTCAGTAAAGAACCTGGGTATCGTGCTTAGCTACGATTTATCTCGGGCACAACAGAAAAACAAAACATTCGAAACAGTCAGACTATCATTCTACGCATCACGTCCGCGAACTTTCTCCGTTATCATGACTTGATATCTCGTTTTGTCATTGCCTATTTTTCCACACTGGACTACTGCTCTCCAGTGATATTTCCTGGACTATTGGGTAAGAATTTCAGATTAATCTAGTGATGTAGCGGTGTATCAAAGCGGACTGTCGTCGATATACTTGTGCTCACTCATGATGGTTCTTGCAAGAGGCTAGCATCAACAGTACTTGCCGACACCAGCCGCCACTTCATTGTGTATTGTCACAATGTGGCGATCTCCTCAATCAAACCGAAGTAAAAGTCCATAAGTGTCCGAACACGAGTTTAAAGTTCGTCAGCTGTTCCTTACCTAGCGCGACTTTTGCTAGACCCTAACAAAGTCATCTGACAACTAACCAACCGGAGTATGTTATGATAGTGTTGCGGTTTTCCACTTATTAATCCCCCTTTTCTGAAATGCATTCATATCATGCTGCATAGCTGAAAGCGTGTGTTACGGATGAGTATGCACTCATGCTGGGTGCACAAAGGTCAGAGCCTGACCCGTGCGAAACTACAGCTCTCAGTAGAACACGGCACTCAGCTCGTAGCATAAGAAAGTTTAGGCAGTACGCAAAATGTGTTCTGACTGGCATCAAATACAATGCTTCGCAAAATTTAAAACAGTGCAATCGATGAGTATGTTGGTGTTAAACTGACAAACCTGATACCGGTAAGCCTAAGCAATAAGAAACAAGTGAACACAATGCAATCAATAATTAGCCTAGCACTGACTCCAGCAAGACCAGTCAACAGAGAGTAGGCGAACTCGGTTGGAACTATCCCAGCTAGGATGGTATCGATCGACTGGTTGGCGTAATCGACTTGAGCAGCGACATTGCAGAGCCTCCGGTTGACTGGCATTCTGTGAGTCTTCCAATTCAGTAAGCGGACTTGCCGGTGTGTCGACTGGTGGAACTGAAACAGAGCGGTAACGCACATGGCCTCTGTGCCTAACGTCTATCTTGCCGTGTGCTACAGCCACTTCGATATTTTGACGCGCAACTTTGTGAAATTCTTCAGACTGCCAGATCGTTTCGTTAGGCAACCTGTTTCAAAACTGTTCATTCTCGCAGAACTGTCGATCCCTCCCGTGATACTAGAAGCTGAATTGATCTTGGTTGGTCTCGAAAGCGTAGCCTATGATCGAGATACATAAAGTCTAGTTTCGCCCTTAATCTCCGTCAGAACATCAGCTCGCCGGGGCACTTGCATGAATTGAAACCAAAATATTTAACCTCGACACCGCACGAGACGACGTATAGACTAAACTAACGCAATTCTAATTACAACAAGGCGAAGAAAACGGAACCCACACAGGCCATTCTTACTCTTTGCAGCTGGTCGCTATCCAGGTCAAAAAGTGACAACGTCAAACGATGCACTGCCACCATTCGCTGAGCCAGACCACAAAAGCTGGAAGCCATCAAATTGAATTCGACTTGTTGAAGGGATAAGCCAGACAAATCATCTGATTTGTTATCAGCCACAGGAAAAGTGGCCGCTGCTTGTGTGTGACGCAAACGGCTCTCGATGAGATGTGTCTGCTCTGCTGTCAAGTTTCGATCCTGATGTAGCATGTAGTCTGAGCGGTTTAAACCAAGAACGATTCTCTGAAGGAAAAGAAAACGAAAGGCCAATAGACCCGGCAAATGGTAAATGGGACTCAATGGGAGAATGGAACAAAATATGAAAAATGAAGCTCGGTTGGTAACTCCTTAGTACCATCCACAGTGAAAACAGCCTTAAGAGTAACTGAGGCCCACCTGTAACGTAGACAGAAACAGAGAAAAAAGTAGTAAAATTCAGGTGGCCTTGCTCGCTCGTGGAGGTGCCCTTTGGATTGGATCGTTGTATCTCAAAAGTATCGCAGCCGTCATGCTGATGTGTAGATGGTGAAACGAAGAGAGGGACCGTAGGTCAATGCTACTTCTAGTAGTACGTTACCACAGTTTTAATAGGCGTACATTGGGTGTTATGTTTGCAGAACATCATGATTGTCCATTATCAGACATACATGATTGCAGAACAACTAATAGGAATTATACTACAAAAATACAAAGGCTATCAATATTGGTAAGTGTAATAGACGGTTTCAAGTTTACAAGACATTTTCAAGAGGAAGGTAACCGATGAACAAGACAAAGCATTCAATGGCAAGTGGACAGGTACAACAGGGGGATGCACCGGGACGATAACACAGTCAAGCGATTCAAATGTAGCACAAACGCGAACAGTTATGAGGCTCAGGATTTCTATAATAAGCGAACAGAAGGAAAGGAATTAACTTGACCGCGATCATAGGGGGCATCCATGTGAATCACAGTTCGCATCAAGACTAGGACAATTTTCACTTGACGAAGGTGGAAATGAGTGTGACATGATTCCTATAAAACACTCGAAGACAGGTTTCACCAGTCAGAAATGTTAATTTAATATGATGGCCTGGTTGCTACGAGTACTCTAGTCGGCTCGAACGACACGGACCCTGAGTAAACTTATACCCCGAACGAGACGGAACACACTTGTCGATACTCGCGTAGACGGGACGCACTAATGAATGCTTGCGCTGTGTACCGCTTGCCACCCGCGCACTCAACACCGAGTTGAGAAAAGATAAAGCAGATTTTCAGCAGAATACTTTTACAATAAAGCGGAGAGGCTGCACAGCCCCGATTTTATACCGAGTCTGGCGACATAAAAAAACGGAGGCAAATACAAGGAACAAGTCCGAGTAATCGTGAGCGTGTGACAAGAGAATCAATACGCAATATTGTGAGTGCCTGAGCGATTGAAGTGTGAACGTGTCAGACATGAGTGTGTCTGCATCGTGAATTCTGAAACGTACGATGTCTGAGTCATGAATTGTGCAATCATTATGGAGACCATTGCTTCCCATAACAGGACTTCAGCCTCCATGGTTGCTTGAAGAGCGACCATGGCCAACTGGGTGTCTCGGTTACACGAGTGACGGCTGAGTGAATGGTCCCTAAAATGGTGTGACAATGTGTGCACATCTTCAATAAACACGGACCTATCAGGATATCGCTTTCGAGCAGTATGAGAACTACCACCGGATAGGTGGATATCTAATAGTCAAACTCACTCTCCTGGTCCGTCAAGCTTCGAATTGGAAGTGGATGACATCTGGGTTTGTATAAATGGCTCACCACACAATTGGCATTGATTCGGTCATCTTCTATGTGTGTCAACCCAACGTCTAACGAAAAAATTTGGTTTACTCACTGATTCCTGGGTGACATGGGTTTGAGTGGGGAGATTATTACTGACCCAGTAGCGGGAAATGCAGTTACTGATTACAAAGCGGGTGCTGCTAGTTTAGCTCACTTTCCGGCCGTGATCCATACGACCCACCTCGTGAGTGGCTCGGGAAATCAAGGAGTACGTTTCGCCACTTGCACAAGTGGTGTTTATTGTTGCCTCCTAGCCTGTTTGACTAGTTAAGGTTAGGAGACAATGAAAAGTGGATCCCGCGGACAAGCCCCGTTCCCATCTCCAAACATCATCATTATCACGGGGAATGCTGATCCTCAGCAAACCAAAAATTCCCATTTATTAGAATGAATCAAGGGAGGCAGAATTTGAGAAAAGAATTCTTTTCGGCAATTCTCATCAGACTCAAACATTACATGATGAGGAAAAATGCTAAATGTGCCGGTTTGGGCTGCGTATTGAACACAATGTTTAATTTCATGGGTACAAATCAATAAATCACGGGGTCATTGTAGGTGGCAAGTATGTACAGGGGAAATCACATCCGAAGTTGTAGGCCACGGTAGAAGTAAAGGACGTACAAACTGTTTTTGTACGCATAATTCTGGCTTGAGATGGCGGATATAGATAGCTTCCGCGATAGACAGAAGATGCATTCGGAATCCGCGCGTGAAACGTTCAGGAACAGTATAGATGACTCTAAAATCATTTTCCGTTCCTGCGTGACTGCACTCTAGAAGGTGAGATAGGATGGAACTGTTACTCGACCTCGCTTCGCCTTTGTAAAACCATTTTGGGATGTGTTCGCGAATCCTATGAGATAGGCGTCTCGTGGTACGACCCACGTATCGTGCCCCACAGGAGCACGATGTGATTTCCCCTGTACATACTTGCCACCTACAATGACCCCGTGATTTATTGATTTGTACCCATGAGATTAAACATTGTGTTCAATACGCAGCCCAATCCGGCACATTTAGCATTTTTCCTCATCATGTAATGTTTGAGTCTGATGAGAATTGCCGAAAAGAATTCTTTACTCAAATTCTGCCACCCTTGATTCATTCTAATAAATCATTATCAATACACGTTAGATGAGGATGAGAAACACACCTCAGCTAATGTGCTGCAGCACAAAAAAAGATAATAGATTAAACTTTACAGACTACAGAAGATAAAAAAGCAACATAAGGCAAAGATCACGTTCTGCATTCGGTTGAGATTGTTGTTGGAAGTGGAAGCTAAAGTGGAGGGGAGGGACAAAGATACGCATAACATAAGCGCCACTGAGGCCTGCTCCTCACTATATCAGCTAGTGTATCCAGCTGCTCCCAGGTGATCGACGTCTTGACTTGGAGTATGACGGCGACGTCGCTCGTCTGTTGCAGCTTTAAAACGTGCCATGCTGCACTGGATTAGTTAGTTCTGGCTGTCAGTCGTTCCGGGCTATGCTTTACACCATCGTAATGCAAAGTTCTACAAGATTGGCAGGGATCCACTCCTGCGCCGACCATTGGCAGTGATCAGCTAGAGGACCTTCAGAAATTTAAGTGTCTAGGCAGGTGTATTCGCGTCCGCGGAATTGAAGATGGGGTCACGAACCGTATCGCGAAAACCCGAGCTGCTTTTGTCAATCTCCGCCACCTGTAGTGCCGGTGTGACATCACACCCTCGTCCGTACAATTCTTCTTTATGGTTGCGAAACCTGGCCCATTAGATAAGCCGACATAAAAAGGCTAGTCACGTTCGACCAACGGTGTCTTCGCAACTTTGCTCATGTCTGGTTGGAACCCCGTGCGAGCAATGATGGTGTTCGGCGTCGCGTAGCTGATTCAGTGAGAACGAGCGAACCACTCAGCACCATTAGATCACGCACCTGGCTCCGCTGGCTCGGCCACGTGTTGCGCATGCCAACACATCGACTTCCGCATTGTGCGTTGTTTGCGCGCCCGGGGGTCTGGATTGTAGAAGAGGAGAGAGGCCAAGCGATGAGCTGTTCAAGAGAAACGAAGTCTCTCCTCGAAGTTAGTATTTCGCAACTATGGGGCTGGGGAACATCATCATCATTATACACGTTCGCTAGAGGTGGGAAACACCTCAGCTACTGTGCCGCAATACATAGAAAAAAGAAGAAAATAGGCAACAGCTGCAAGCCAGCTGAGATACCTGCAACGGATGGGCATCGTTCCGGTAAGCTACCAGCCGGCTACGGTGCAATAAAAAAATTCCTATGCAAAATTAGAGAAAACTAAATAGTGAGATCGTGGTTGGAGGGGAGGTTAAGAGGGATGGGGTGGGACAAAGAAACACAGCACGAACGCCACTGAGGTCGGCTCCTAGCCATGTCGGCAAGTGTATCCAGCCAAACGTGATCATCGTCTTTCGGACCCCAACCAGGGAGCCGATACGCTCCGAAGTGAGGGCCTTCATTCCTCTCGACCAAGTCATCGCTTGGCCACCCCTCCTCTTCTTCCATCCACACCCAGCCGATGGTACTTCTAGTCCTGCAGAAACGGTGGGCTCAAAAGCGCCACACTGGGGTGGGCAGAACTCAGCAGGACTTACCCCTGGACAACAGGGGAGGCATGTCCGAAAAATGGAACCAGCCGCCATTTGATGCAGTCGCCTACAGGACGACAAACACTTCCATTATCGACGAGAATTAACAAGTAACAAAGGAAAAAAACAGGAAGTTTAGACCTGATTAACGCGACATAACTATGGGAAAAACAACTGTGACTCATTCGTGGTTGGTCTAGCCCAGATGTTTGCAAACTCCCACTTTGAGGCTAGATACGGTCCAGTCAAACCAGACGCCCTATAGATATTTATCACTGCATAAACTTACTGATTGTCGTTAGACAGAGTGAATTCTGAGTCATACGATATTTGACATCCGAAGGTTAATGATACCCATCATTACCGTTGGTCAGAGGTTGAGTTGTGTCCCATGTTTATCTTTAGAACTCGTATCAAGCGCTTGCACGAAGCAGATGCGCCTGACTGGAGAGTAGGATGAATGTCGTAACGCAAACGAACTCTCTTTGCGGTCTCAGTTTGATTCGCCGTTCACTGGATCAAGGAGTGCGTTATGCGCGCATGTGCGCTGTTGTATCCCAATAAGCGCACTAGGCCTATCTGAAAACTGGCGTCTGCCTCGAACCAGTACTAACTGTAAGCAGAACAAACGCACAACGATCTTGGGAAAGTGCATTCTGTCTGATAACTCGTCTCTTTACAAGTGAAATGAGTGTTTACGAGCAATCGACAAATGTTCATTCAATCAGTTGCGAGTCATGCGTGCGTGCATACGCAAGAAATAGAACTATCAGCTAGCGTACACAGCATGTGCTAACTTGTGAAACTATGCCAATAATGA